TAGCAGGGGCTCTGACTCTGCAGGTAAGGCTTTCTGATAACATGTATTAAGGAGATGATAAAGTCCCTCTTTTTTCTCCTCTTAAGCAACAAAGTGGAGTTTAGTGCTGACGGGGCATTGTAAGGCTAGGAGGTTTTAGGGCTGTTAGCAAGTGTACCGCATTAAGCAACAACTATTTTGTCCTTTCCCTCGCCTTGCTATTAGGGGTGATCTGAAGGGAGGAGATGGCACTCAGTGCTTTGAGCACCTAAGTGCTGTTCCCAGGGCTGCCCTGCTGCCCACAGTGTTGCCCACGAGTGGTGCAGCCCCTGCGAGAACCGGGTCTGGAACGTGTCCTGCCCACTGTGGTGCTTCACTGCTAATCCCAGCAACACGTACTTCCCTCCAAGATGGATGGCATCTCACTGGAGGCACCCCAGGGGCTGGGGAAAGTTGTGGCAGGATCTCTGCTAGCAAAGGGATGAGCTGGGCAATCGAGGATGGCATTGATAAGGGTGTTTCCATGGGGCTGGGGACCAGGAGGTGTCTGCTGCAAGTGTCTCCAGCGCAGGTGCACTGTTATGGCTACAGTCAGCATCTTCACTTACAGGCGTACCGTCACACCTTGGGGACAGGTAGATTGTGACCTCTTAATGCAGGATAGGTGTGCTGCAGTGTATACAGTCAGCCTCTGTGGTACGGTTGTACAGTACCATCTACGGTCAGCATCTGCAGTACAGGTGTACTGTAAGGTCCACAATCAGTTCAGGTGTACCATAGTGTCTGCAGTCTGTGTGTGCAGGACAGGCATACCAGAGCATCTACGGTTGGTGTCTGCAGTACAGGCATACCAGAGCATTTGCAGTCAGTGTCTGCAGTACAGGCGTACCATGGTGTCTGCAGCTGGTGTCTGCAGTAGAGATTGTACCATAGTGTCTATAGTCACTGTCTGCAGTACAGGCACACAGTAATGTCTATAGTGGGAGCCTTCAGTACAGGCACTGCAGAGCTCCTCTGGAAGGCTCTGGGCAAAGGCTGCAGGGGGACACGCAGGAAGGAAACAACTTAATGGAGCTTTTTTCTTCCTGGGGTTACCACTTAAGAGCCAGGCCCTGTAACAGCACCCGGTGAGGAACTGCCCGACAGAAGACTGTCATGGAAACACTAGCGTTTAAAGCTACCACTTTTCTTTTGTGGGAGCCACACACTTCCAGAATGAGATTTTATTTGTTATTGCTGGGAGGGTGCTGTGGCAGGTGAGAGTTGTGGGGGGAAGCTGGGGTGCAGCCCACATCCCTTGCCAGCTGGGGAGAGCCCTGCCCTGGAACTGCTGTTTTCAGCTGCCAGTTGATACCCCATTACCAGTGAGCATCCCCACTTTCTAAGGATCTTTCTGAGGGAGAACTGGAAAGGATCCATCTCTCTGCTTGCTCAGAAGAGGACACTTGGACTGTTCAGCAGATGGTGGCATCCTACTTTTTGGCTGAATACACTATCTACCCCCTTTGCTCGTGTTGCCCACCTTGGGACTCACCCTATCACACCAGAGCAGTTAATATCACATTGCAGTGCCCTTTCAGTCCTGCTTGCAGTGGCAGCCTCTGGGCTTGTCTTCATGTAAGTCTGGCCACAGTCCTGATCTGGCTCGGAAGGCATGACTGGAAACACATTTGGTTTAGACCAAGAGGGCTCCATACTCATGTCTTCTGATAAGAGTGACCATGACTGATGTCCTCATTACCCTTAACCACTAGGACAAGGCAGGGAAGGATCAACTAGTTGCTCTCGCCCAAAACAAGAAGCTGGGGACAGCGAGGAAGACTGCTGGAGGCATCTCCAGCTCCAGAGCTGCTGGGCCACCGCATCTTGTGTGTCCCCTCACCTCCCTTCACTTCTGCCCAGGCTCCTCCTTCCTCTCTGCTGCCAAGAAATTATTCACTACAAGGTCAAACCCAAATATTCCTCAACCTGTTTTTCTGCAGAAGATTGAGTTTCCCACTGCTGGGTTTGCTGTGTAATAAATGTGGTTCCCCACTGTCACCTTGCAACTGGTCCCTGCTGGAGCAGGGATGCAGCCCAGGGAGCTGCACGCCTGGTGAGCTGCTGCTCACTGGCCCGTGTGTCTGCATACCAGGGTGCTGGCTTTTGCTAGAGAAACCATTAAATGAGCAAATACAGCAAATGGAAATTTGCATTAAAAGCATCTGCAGAAATTGCGAAGGTTTTGTTATGTGCTTGAAAAAAAACAACATGGCTTTGGGCAAAACAGTCAAACAAAGCAAATACTGCATGGGAAATTGCAATTCAAGTGAGAAAAAGTTGGTTTTCTGGCTCGATTTTTCGCACTAAAATAGGTCTGGCTCCTGCCTGGTGACAGAGCTCATCTCTGAAAAGAAATGAGCTTTTGCAGGGTGAAAGTACCAAGCGGTGAGGTCTCTGTGCTGGCACTGGGAGCCTCTGTGTCCTGGATGTGCCACAGAGTCCCCAGGGACCTCAGCTGGGTCCCTCCTCTCTTTCTCCAGCTATAGACAAACACCATAACCCTTGAGACTGTCGGTGCTTCAGGACAAGAACCGTCCCTTGCCACATAACTGTGGTGCCTCTTTCCACACTGGTCTGGTCTTGGGTGAGGCTGCCAGGCATGAGGGCAGGAGCAGCAGCAATTATTTTAACAATCAATAAGATGAGGAGCAGCAGGGGAGGGCAGGTGGCTTTCTTCCCTGGCAGGACTGAGATGTAGAGTGTGATAGTTGGCGATGATATTTGCACCAGCACAAGCCAGAGGGCTACGATGAGCAGAACTCACGCTTTTCAAAGAGCAGGCTGACCTCCGTGGTGTGGAGAGGGTCCTGTCCTGCCTCCCATCATTGCCACTGTGTCCAGAGTTGGGATGGCTGCACTACCTGGGGGTACCTGGACTGCAGTGCAGGGGGGGGCTCCAGCCCTGGTGCAGTTTCTTAGCTGCTTCAACTCCTGATGCCACCCACAAACTTCCAGGGCTGTAGGGAGTGAATATTCAGTGGGAAGTGAATTTAGGATTGGTAGAAAAAGTTGGCTCTTGGTTTGCAGGCAGCTCCCAAGGTGCCCGGGGCATGGCCACCTACCTCCAGTCCTGGCCGTCACCCACTCCCTGAGCTGCCACTTTCAATGGCAGCCAGCACACAGGTGGGGTGGCAGCAGGAGCCACGTGCAGACACGGTGGGGAGACATGGGGGAGGCAGAGTGGATAGCAGGCATGGGGAAAAAGAGGAGCAGGAAAGAATAAGCAGAGCAAATGATAACGATGTTGTAATTAGCACTTAGTGCTCCTCACACAGGGCTTTCAAAGGAAGGTCACCTTCATTATCTCTGTTTTACAGGCGGGGAAACTGAGGCACGGGGGGAGGCAGTGAGCAATTTGCTCAAGATGACCGAAGGGCTGGGGCTGGGCTGGGAGGGAGGTCTGGGGCTGGTGTGTCTGTGCTGTGCAGCCGCAGCATACGGGGGATGGCTCTCGCTGCCAGCTCTCACAGTCCAAACCTAAAACTGCAAATTCAGAAGCGAGGCCGTGGGTCCCTTCTCTGCCCATCTCTGGGCTCCTCATCTTCAGACTCACTGTCTACTCCAGCATCCCTGCCCCTGAGGGGCATTTGCGGCCAAGCTGGTCCTGCTGCACCCCAAACATTTCTTACGACATCTCTCCCAGCCCCTTTTGCGTTCCCCTCCAACCCTGCAAAGTCTTATGTACTGCTGCGAACCTGAGGCCATCTGGGCTCTTGCAACAGCCGTGTTGGGTAATGGAATATGTTTTGCTGTTTTTTTTTTCTCTGGCCAGTACAGCTTCCCCTTTATTTAGGTTTAAATGGATGCCATCTGGCTAACGAGCCCATACTCATGTTCTAGATTAAAAGGCAATCCTCCACGCGTTACCGATACGGTGCTGAAGATTAGAGAGGTTTAAACGATTTTGAAGGTGTAATTTGCTTTTCATGCATGGTGCTGTTTACCTCCTGGCGGGTGGGCCAGCATTCCCATTGCTGTCCCCCGCAGCTCCCTCTCAACTCTGATCTTCTCTACCAGCCCTGGCTGCAAGAAGAGGAGTGTTCAGATATCTCCAAGCCTGGCAGGGCTGTAGAGAGCATCCTTGCGGTTGTTGCTGCCATTTGTCCACTCCTGTTTAAACTCAGTGCAAGCAGGATGTTCCCTGATTGTCCCTAAAGCCCAGCATATCTCCACCCACCTGCCTTCTTAGCTGTCTCCTCCTCCACACGTCCCTGTACCCCAGCATCCCCTGGAACATGGCACGGCTCACCAGGACAGCGCAGCCTCTGCCCCTCTCCCAGCCCAGAGAGATGGGGAAGCGACTGTGGCCTATCAGGGTGTCAATGGCAGGTGGCTGAGGCAGCATGCTCCACCCATCAGTCATTGAGAAGACACTGGTGAGGTTTACACTGCCCCTCCAACGCCCAGAAATGCTGCTGCTGTTGCATTGGGCCGGTGAACAACACAGTGCTGGGTGCTAGAGCAAGAAGGGGCCACACCAGAGCAGCAGCTGCCTGTGCTGGGATCTGCATCTTGCATATCCTAAGCACTGGCTGCTGCTGTGAAGTGTCTGACTGTGTTCCCACCTCTTCAAAAAACCTCTGTCACCCACTTGCAGGCAATGTCTGCTCCTAGGGTGATGCTGTAGCTGCCAAGGAGAGCCCAGCACCAGCATTTGACTTTTTTAAGGGAAATGTTGAAAATGAGATGAGGAAAATACAGTATTTGTGCAAGGCATGTTGTCACCTCCAGGCACCTGGTTGTGCTGGTATGTGTCATGGAAAGTGCCACAGGCTATTGAATGACAAAGCATGCACCAGCAAAATGCCTCATTTTGCAGCAAGTTCCCTCACGGCTGAGGTGAAGTCGTGCTTTGTGGCCATCTCCTTGCGGTCCCATTGTGCCCTTCAGCAGCCCAGGAGGAAACCACTCTAAGCATGCGACATGTGAGGTCTCCTGGAGCAAACCCTGACTGCTTCTGCCTGTGTTTGCTTCCACAGATGGCTAACCCTGTCCCGTCAGCCTGCTGCGTCGTGCTCGCTGTAGTGGTGGTCGTCTATGCCCAGAGACACAGCCAGCAAGGTGAGTCTCTTCACACCTTTCCCACCTTGGGGGTCCCAAAAAATGTGAATGCTGATCCTCTGGCCTCTCTCCTGGGGCAAGCTGGGTGAACACTCTGGGCTTTCCTGATACTATGTTTCTGAACATTATCATTTTCTCCTCTCAGTGACACATGCATCACCTCCTGCCCACTGCTATGGGGTTTGGTCCTGCATCCCCCCAGTGTCCACTGGCGCCCCTCACCTTGCTCCTATGCCTGAATGTCCAAGGGTGCCCCTAGAGTGAGGGCACTGCTTCCCATCCCTTCATTCCCCCTTTTCTGCACACTATCCTGTGCAACACACCCATGAAGAGGTAGGAAGAAGCAGCAGCCTGACGGCTCCATGCCCTGACACACTACACCATGACCATGATGGATGCCTCGTCCTGCTCTCATGTCCTTGGTGTGACTTTGTCCCCATTGCCACCACACAGCTGCACCCACCACTGGGTCTCTCCTCTCCAGGTTGTCAGAGGATTCAGGGCTTACCCTAACGATGGCTTTAGAGAAACTATATTTTAGAGTCACTGGTGGCAGTGGGAGCTGGAGGCCCCCAAATGATCCTGGGTTGAGACAGAAGCAGAAAGGGGGAACACTTGGGTCCCACTGTAAGGTCACCTATGGCAGCCCTGCAAAAATGGGACAAAATGTGGGACCTCCAAAATTCACTGGCTTTCCTGGCAGTCAGCCTGGCTGTAGTTGCTTTCAGTGGATTATACAGGGGAATTTTGATGATTAACTCCAGTAAGAACATGTGTGCATCTGTGGGCTCTGTGGGATTGAGGAGCCAGAGTGCCCCACTGAACTGCCTAAATCCAGCTGGGTGGGTTTACATTGCTGGAAGCTGCCAGCTTGGACACAAAGCAGCTGGGGTTTAGCAACACATCCCCATCACATGGGGACAGCCATTCTCTGGACATGGACAGAGCTTGCTAGATGGTGTTACAGGAGCATCCCAAGCACCTTCCCAGGGTGCCTGCTTGAAGCATTTACATGTTGAGCTGTCTGATGCTTGTGGTGGTGTGATGCTTTCTGCAGAGAAGCAGTGCTGCTTGGTCCTGCTGTGCTTGCAGGATCACTGCCTGGGAAGCCTTGAAGGACCCAGTGTCAAGGCTGCCAGAGCATCCTTCGGATGCACTTGTGCTGCTTCACTCCATGCTGTGGGGATGGCAGCCCAGACCTGTTGCACAGGGAGATGCTCTGGGCAGGGACTTTGGAACAGCAGGTCTCCTGCCCACCCCACCGTGTCTGCCTTGGAGAGGCTTCACACATGCCGGTAAAGTCAGGGAGTTTCTGCCCTACATTGGAGACCCAAAGGGTGTGCTCCATCCCCCCGACCCTGAGGTCACCCCCTGCCCCAGTGCAGCCTCCCCTCACCAGCCAACCCTAGGGCTCATACCCCAGCAGCCAGGCACTCAGTCTGGGAAAGAAAGCACAGCAGGAATGGGGTGGAAGGATGGGTTAATCCCACTGGTGGCAGGGACTGGGTGGAGTGGGGGGAAAACACTGGCATGGAGTCCATTTATTGTGCACTTGAGGCACGTTCGACTTTAATAGCTCATGAAGCACTTTAAGAGATGCATTAGCGCTGAATACTTGAGTGAGGAGGATGTGACAAGCTGTTAGATGAGCACGAGCACAACGCAGCAAGCCTGGCCACCCGCTCCTGGCTTTCACGTGCACCCTGGTGATTACTGGAGCGTCCTGCGAAGTGCCACATGAATTAATAAAAGCAGAGTCAGGCTTGGTGGAGGTGAAGCTGCTCATGCATTAACCCCTCTGCTGCTCATCTTTGGGCCTTCTCCTTGGAGTTGGCAGAGCAAAGGATGCATTTGTCTGGGATGTGGGAGCCCAGGATGCTCCCCAGTGCTGGGGGGGAAGGGTGGAGGGGCTCAGAGGTCAAGCATTGGGTACCTCCCCCCCTGTGGTCACAGAGCTCCCTTGCTTTGCATCAGTGGCAGGTTGCTAAAGTTACACTTGCACCACCCCACTGGGCACCGTCACTTCCATGGAGTGGGCACCGGGCAGTGGGAGACCAGAGCCATCACTCAGGGCAGCCCCAGGGGGATGCTCGGAGAGTGGCACTAACATGCTGGCTCGAGCAGTGGGATTTGGGTGTCTTTCTGCAGGAAAAGGCAGAGAGGCAGCTAAAGAGAGTGTTCATGAGGGGCTCTCCCACAGCACAGCCTCTTGTGTCACCCCAACCAGGGGAATGGCTGGCTGCGGGTGGGGAATGCCACTCCCCTGATTTCTCAGGGTTGTGTCTTCACTCCCAGAGTAATTCAAGCCATCAAACAGGGATGGCTCCCAGCCCACCTCCACCATGATATCTTTGGTTGCAATGTTTTGGGGCAGCCAGGTTGGACTGTGGGTGCGGCTGGAGACGCCAGCGCTGCCACCAGCTGGGAGTTGCACAGTGTGCTGACAGCTAATCCCATTGCTGCTGAACTGATCACCCCGTGCTGCTCAGCCCCTCACGCTGGGTGGCTCTGGCAGGCTCCAGCGGCATGCTCGGTGTGGGTGGGATCGCTGCCGCTGCATTGAACGCACGCCGTTCCCAGCCCAGCTGGGGCAGCTGGCGCCGGATCGTTTTGAACGGCCACCTCAGTGCTCTGGAATATAACAAAGGAAAAGGCAGCGCATGGGGTAAAATTGGAAGCAGGGAAGAAAGAGATGAGATTTGCAATGGTTAGCTGCCAGAATAGATTGGTGTAGGGTGGTGCGTTGGCCCTCTGGCTGGACTGACTGAGCAAGTGGTGCAGGGATGTCCCCCCAGTGCATGGGTAAGCACTAAAGTAAACCAGCTTCAGACAGGGCTGTTGGATCAGGGACAGCCTACCTCCAGAGACAATCATTGCCCTGGGCACCCATGGGGCTGTCCCCATCCATACAGTTCCCAGCCAGCATGGAGAGATGGTCAGGAGCTACAAGAAGAAATGGGAGGGGACAGGGGAGGCAGAACTGGCTGAAGACCATACAGAAGATCCTGGTGCCCTTCCCATTATTGTGCGTAGCTCAATTTTCCTTCCTGTGTTTCCTTCTTCAGGCAGTGGTTGCTGCTGAATTATTTCAGAGTAGAGGAAGGTGATGGGGAAAGCTCAGCAGAGCACAGAAGTGATGCTGCCTGCTGCAACACTTGTACTTTTGGTTGGCCAGGGGCTCAGTTGTGTGAGCAGTCCTGGCAGGGGTATCAGTGATGCAGAGATCCTCTCCCTGGCAGGGCTGGGGCACCCTCAAAGGAAAGGGAGAGGCCGTAGCATGAGCCCTGAGACTTTGCCAAAGCTCCTTATCTGGGAAGTGTGTACATGGTGGAGATGCCTAACTGTGTGTCAGGCCATAAAGTATACATGCATGGGTGATTTCAGCTCTTTCTATTCATTGCCATGACTGCCCATGGCTGGTCTTAGCTTAGTTCCCAGTAGACCCAAGGGCTACAGCAGTCTTGGAAAGAGATCTCTGCTTCCTCAGGCTCCCGCCATGACCAAACCATCTTCCCCATCTGTCAGCCCTGCCAGAGTTATGTCCACATCTGTCCCAGATTGAGATTTCTCTGCTTTTAAAAGAGGAGTAATTCTGCTTTATTGATCCTCACCTTGCTGAATTAACTCATGTTTAAACAATAATTATGTTTTCACCCAGGAGAAGAGACAAAGAAATAAACGTCTCTGGAAATGAATGTGTTTCAGATGCCACATGCCGGGGTTAATTTATTGATGGGTGCAGAAGCTGTTATCTCCTCTCCTTCTCACCAGCAACAAGCAATTAGCCCCCATCATTCCTCAACCGAGGAAGAGAAAGAGATATTTTCTTTCACTACTTTTCCTTCTCTCTTGCTTTCTTAAGCCGCTAATCTTTTGCAATCAGTTCTGCTGCAAGGCCTCCCAGGAGCTCCAGTTTGCATGCGTCTCGTTAGAAATGCTGCCCACATTTCAGCTAAGACAAAGCCTGGCCGGTAAAAAGCCTTCAAAATGCACGCAAAGCCATGCAAATTGGCTTTTCAAAGCAAACCCAACTGTAGATATGTCCCTCTCTGCCCTCCCCACATTGTCCAACCTTCTCTGTGTGGCATTTGTTGGCTGACAGGGAGGCAACCAGCTCTTCCTGGACTCTGCTTCCTTCCACATCAGTCAGCCCATGCAACTCCTGAGGGTATCTGCCTGGCACAGTTAAACTAGTTGCTTTGATTTTGGGAGTGTTCTCTGAGTTTTCTGCGTAGGAGATGGTTTGTAGGTTCGTGCAGGAATGTGTGGTTGGTCTGCAGATATCTGGGTAGGTTTTGGTTGTTGTGCAAATGCTGTTCAGTTAAGGTGTATGGATTCAAGTGGTGTGATGGGCTACCTGGGTCTCGAGGCTTGGTCATGTGCCCATGGGTGCGCAGGGAAGATGTCCTTACAACCTAAGACACCCCTGAATGAGTAGTCTCTCCAAATAAAAATACAGAAGGACCCCTCCCTTCTCTCCCCTCCCCATGCTATTGGAGTGTCCTTCAGTCATGCATTAATTGACATAACTAACATCTGTCATGTGTTGTTTTTTCACCCATTCCTCAGGGCAAGATGCATGTGCAGCAGTGTTTTGGAATTTTTGTAATTGCCCAGGCGCAAGCACTCGCTGGGGAAGGAAAGGTCAAAGGGACTGCCTGAGTGTGTGCTGAGCGGCCAGCACACACTGGCAGCCTGGAGATGGTACATGCTTCCCCACAGAGCCTCATCTGTGCTCAGGCTGGGGTCCAGTGCAGGAGGAAGCTCTGTCTCCTCATTATATAGCAGCTCCCCACCTCCCATGACACCTCCTTGCATCTTGGGCTAAGTGTTGCTCTCATCACAGCACACTGGTACTTCATCTCTGGGTGGCTCCTGCCAAGGCCTTTATTGGCGTTGTCCTCCCTAAGTTGCAGCCCTGCCTTCAAGTCTGACCTGCATTCCTCCACTGGAGATGAATGGACTTGTGTTTGACTGCATAACACACCATGCTCTTGCTG